TAAAGTGGATATCAGGAATCTTATTTTATAGTAATATAAGACATTCAACTAGAGCAGAGCTTCCTTTGGGAAGTCACAAAAACTCTCATTAGTTTAATCATTTCAGGAGAATCTAGGGTGAGGTTCTTAACCTGCAGAAAATGGACTCCTTTATATTTCAATATAATTTGTTTCCTCTGTAATCCTATGTACTTAGTTTTATGTATTTAAAAAACATCATTCTAGTTGAAACACAGGCTTCACCAGATGGCCACAGAAAAGGTTGAAACCCCATGCGTTACTGTCAAACCCAGCCCTGCCATCAGCTCTAGGAAAGAATGGAGTGACTTTTCAAGTTCCTTCCTACAGAGTGAAACATGAAGTAGAAGATAGCAGCATGTAGTATGCCACCTCTTTCCTTTCAAAGGGAGAGGTTGACAAATATTCCTATCTGCAGGCACGTACACTTTCCAACAAAAATGAAAGAGGCACGTGGCCAAAGAAGTGACTTCTCATTTTCAGAAATGGGGAAACTACAGAGTAGAAAAGCCAAAACCAAGATTTCTCATAAGTTTGAGCAATATGGAAGTTCCCCCTTCGCAAAATGAGTATCCCTTTTATAGAATTAAATTCACCTCTTCAATAGGTGATGATATGACAGACAATGGCCCTATAAGTTTATGTGTATGATCTCAATTCCCAGGTGTATAGTAGAGCTGACAAGGGACAAGATTGTAGTCACTGCTTGGTCACAGCCAGCTACCCAGAGGGACTGAGTAGTTGAACCTGTGGGCTTGGGACCATAGTTACAGGGGACATCAAGCTCAATTGGCATAACATAATATAAAAAACATTGTTCCACCTCCTACTTTGGCGAGTAGCAACTGGGATCTTAAAAGCTTGCAAGCTGCCATCTAGATGAAACGATGGATCTCTCCTCGTCCAGATCAAAGAAGAATGAAGAAAACCAAGGATTCACGGAAAGAATTAGTCCCAGCAACTGGTATACCATGTGATCTGCAGCCTATACGACTATAAGACCAGAAGAACTAGATGGTGCCTGGCAACCACTGTCAACCACTCAGAGGGGGATCTATGTAGGAGATCCTGGATAGAGGGGGAAAACAATGTGGAACAAAACTCAAAATCATTTGGGGGGAAAAAAAAGGAAACCAGGTTTGCTGGTCTGATAGAGCCCGGTGGAATCACTGAGACTATGGCTTCTAGCTGCCCTTCAAGTCTGGAATTGACCCACAACCTGTGGCTTTCAGCCAAACAAAAGACAGGCATAGGAGTTGAACATTTACCTGAGGTAGATACACTCCTTGGAGAGAACAATCATGGGAGAAAGAAGAGCTGTTTATGTACTGGGAGATAGCTCAGGGGGCAGGGGTGCATGGAGGGATGGACACAGGGAAGACGTGACTGTTGGGAGGAAGTGGGAGGGGAGCTGTTGCATTGTGGTGAATTGTGGTCAATGTCATGAGACAAAGTGTATGTGAACTGCTGTTTGGAAAGAATTTGCTCTGTAAATTTTCACCCAAATCACTGTATATATATAAGCTCTGGTAGCATAGTGCCTAAGGCACTTGACTGCTAACCAGAAGGCTGGCGGTTCAAACCCACCAGCCACTCCTCGGAAGGAAGGTTGGACATTCCTACTTCCGTAGTGATACTGTCTCGGAAACCCAAGGAGGGGTCGCTATGAGTCAGGGCTGACTCGATGGCAAACAACAACAACAACAACAATATATATATATATATATGACAACCAAAAAAAAAAAAAAGTATCCCTTGCTATCCAAGTCCACTGAATTCTTCAGTACAGCAAAGGGTAGCTGTATTTAAACTATGTAAAGGGGGGAATAAGTAAAATATGTTTGGGAATCAAATGAAGAAATATTTTTTATCAACATGGAAAGTACATGTTAAGTGATAAAATGAGAAACAGTAAAGAGAAATGGTGCAGCACAAAGAATTATATATAGGAAAACATTTTGATTCCTCATTATGAAATCAGGAGCTCTGGTAGTATAGTGCCCAAGGCATCTGACTGCTAACCAGAAGGCTGGTGGTTCAAACCCACCAGCCATTCCTCAGAAGGAAGACTGGGCAATCTACTTCCGTAGTGATATTGCCTAGGAAACCCAAGGAGAGGTCACTATGAGTCACATCCAACTCGATAGTATGAATTTGGTTTTGGTTTTGGTATTATGAAATTATAAACACTAATGCAAATATGAGGTGCTCTGGTCATTCAGTGGATGGGCATTCAGCTGCTACCCAAAAGGTCGGCAGTTCGAACCCACTACATGCTTCTGGGAGAAAGATGAGGTAGTTTGCTTTCATGAGGATTTGCAGCTTTGGAAACCCTATGGGGCACTTCTACTCTGTCCCATAGGGTCACAATGAGCTGGAATTGACTCAATGGCAGTAGGTCTTTTTGGTTTTTAATGGAAACATCCTATTTTCTAAGACCTAATGATGCCCAAGGCTTATGCCTTCTCTTTGAGGTGATGGTAACCATAGTCAAAATTAGCCTTGTTATTTAAATCTTTAACAATTATCTTCATGGAATTAATTTTTCTCAAAGCCAATTAGTTCTTACTGCTAATATTCTGATGAATTAATTGTCATCATTTTTATACTAAGAATAATCCTTAAACTTTCTTTCCCTCTAAGAAACAAGATATCTCTTGCATCTGTTCAAGTTTAATACTAGGGATTTCTTGACTTTTTCTTCTACTTTCTTCTCTGTCATAAAGCATCTAGCTGAACTCTCCATGGTGGTCTTCCAGGAGCAAACGTATGCTCCACATAACAAGCACTGTTCCTAGCTACAAAGAAATTCGGTCTTTTGAGATGAAGGACCTACAATAATGATTAAATAACTCTTCTTACCTATTTACAATTATTCACCAGGAGGGCATGCTTCTTTAGAACTGTCGCCAAAAAATTCCACTCCATTTCCTTCCAATAAAGTGCACGTAATGTGATAATATGTGGCCTGAACAAAGCACTGAAAAAATAACTAAGCCAGCCCCACCTTTCTGCTACCCACTTGTGGAGTTAAGAGCAATGGGTGCTTTATCAAAGTTATGTAACAGCAATAACCACAGTTCATAACTGACATAGTTCAGCATACCAGATTTTTCCACTGATATTCTGCACTTATAGTGCCAAAATGTGAAACTAAAAAATGGTAATTCAAGGAACCACATCAGCAATTCAGTATCTTAGATGGAAATATATAAAAGCCACAGATTTCAGCTCTGATTTCCCACAAGTCCCTTAATAACAGATTACTTGGAAAGAATAAACCAGGAACACCGAACTTGGTTATTTTGCTGGGGTAAGGAAAGAGAAAGTCAGTATTATCTGTAATAGAACGCAATGTTAGAGTTCATAACGTGATCTACTATCTTGGTCAGTTGAGAGGTCACAATTGGATCAATATGCAATATCATGACAAATAGAGAAAATACTGAAGTTCTCAAGGGTTTCATTTGACTTGGACCCACAATCAATGCCCACAGAAGGAGCAGTCAAGAAATCAAATCATATTGCATTGGGCAAATCTGATGCAAAAGACCTCTTTAAAGTATTAAGATGTCACCTTGAACACTAAGGTGTGCCTGACCCAAGGCATGATCTTTTCAAATGCCTCATATTCATGCAAAAGCTAGACAATGAGAAAGGAAGACTGAAGAATAGATGCATTTGAATTATGGTATTAGTGAAGAATATTGAATATACTATGGATTGCCAGATGAATGAACTAATATGTCGTCAAAGTACAGCCAAAATGCTCCTTAGAAGCAAGAATGGAAGTCGTATATAGTTTGGACATGTTGTCACAAGGGACCAGTGCCTAAAGAAGGACATCATGCTTAGTAGAGGTTCAGTGAAAAAGAGGAAGATCCTCAATAAGGTAGACTGACACAGTGGTTGCAACAATGGGCTCAAACATGGCAATGACTGTGAGGATGGCCAGGACTGGGCGTGTTTCATTCTATTACAAATAGTTGCAGTGAGTCGGAACCAACTCAACAGGACCAAACAATAATTATAAATTTTGGTCAAAAGGATGTGGACGTTGGCACCTCTCTTGCTTGAGGTCAACTGTTCCCGAACTAATGACATTACTTACCTCTCCCAGGACCTAAATATCTATAAAATCCCTAAAAGCATCTATGAGAATAATATTTATAAAACATTCACAATTGGGAATGTTTTATAAATGATAAACTGGTAAATTCATTCTCAAATGTTATTTCAATTTGGCAACCTATTTCCAAGTGATACTGTCTCCAAAACCCAAGGAGGGGTCGCTATAAGTCAAATCAACTCAACGTCAATGAGTTTGGTTTTTTTGGCTTTTCTAATTCTACAAAGATCTGTTGTAGACTTTGTTTAAAATAAATAAATAACCATGGCATCTAATCCAGATTGCTAAGGTCTGCTTCTCACTTCCAAAGTCCTAAGCATTTTGATTTGTAGATAGATATGTGAGACTCTTTGATGAGGCAACTGTTTGGTGGTACCATATTGGGGCTGACTGAAAATACACTTCTTTAAAACCATTCAAAGTATTCATATATTACCAATTTGAAAAGCAAAGACCTTTTAGGAAATCAAAATTTCCTTAAATGATGTCTAACTATAAAGTAATGAACGATTTTTAGACAAATGCATCAGAATGAACACATCTTAATGAACATTTTCCTTCACGCAGATACATTACTACTCTAACATATTTCGGTTTCTCTTCTGGGACAGTCTTCAGAACCAGTCTTGAACCACCGAGACAAATTTTACTATTTTTAATACTTACCATTTAAAAAACCCAATCTAGTTTATAACCAAATTTATGACCAAGAAAAACTTTTCGTAGTTTGCAAATTATGCTTATCACAAAAGATGAAATTTTGCTACCACAAGAATTCAGTAAAGAGTCTTGTCTTAAAAGTATTTACAAAAAATATGTTTGGGAACTTTTTGAGCACTGGGATAAAATCACAAAACGGAAAGGTTAGGAATCTTTTAATTTTATAATTTCCAGTGGTTTCCTTTAAAAACCATTGATCTCATTCAAAAGAAGTAAAAATATCTATTACCTAATTGCATATTAGTTAGCTAGAACCACCTTAAATAATAAAGGGAAAAAAATGTACCAATTTCCTCTTTTCTTCTCCTATAGTATAGTCTATGTGCACAAGTATGCATACACACATATACACAAATACACACATATACACTTACCATCTGGAGCATATTTTGAGGATATTCCTAAAATGATTGCAAGTGCAACAAAAAATGAAAAGCTAGTAATAGCAAAACAAATGAAAGTATTTTTGTGTCTCTTCTGCTTTCGGCTTTCTCTCTGGGCTCGCTGTTCTTCAGGTGAGAATGCAAAGGTTGCCCGGGCTTCTTGTCTCATGGAGGTAAATTTGGCTGAAGTGTGGCTCTTTGGAGGAGGAGGGGGACGCAGTGGAACGACTTTCCCTGGAACATAACCAGATGAGCGATAGCTGTTCCCATTGTGAGGTTGTTGGAAAGCTGGGGAGTGTCCCCTGGAATCAGTGGCATACATGATACACTGTCACTGCAAAAAAGAAAAAAAAAAATTAACATTCAGAAAGACATAAATTGTAATGATTAAAAAAAAAAAAATCAGTATATACCAGTATCAGTTTTGGAGCATCAGAGTAGAACAGTGCTCCACAGAGCTTTCAATGGCTGAGTTTTCTAAAGCTCTCGTGGTGTAGTGCCTAAGGCACCTGACTGCTAACCAGAAGGCTGGTGTTTCAAACCCACCAGCCAGTCCTCAGAAGGAAGGACAATCTATTTCTGTAGAGATACCGCCTCAGAAACCCAAGGAGGGTCACTATGAGTGGGAGATGACTCAACGGCACTTAATAACCACAAAAACAAGTGGGAAGACTGAAACCTACGATCTTTCAAATAGCAACTAAGCATGTTAACTGCACCACCCAGGGCTCCCAAATGATTGTGTTTCCCTAATATAATGAACTATGTTGAATATCAGCTTTGCTAATCATTTTCTAATGCCACTTCATCTTAACTCTGACTTCACATTATAATCACCTACTAGTGCCATATCTCAAAACAATGAAATCAGAATCTCAAAGCCTGGAATCCAAATGCCAGCATCTTTTAAATAAAAACTCTCAAAGAGATTCTAATGAGCACCTAGGTCAAGAACCACTGTTCTACGCTGACTTGTCCAATATTTAGTGTGTATAAGAAGAAGAATTGATGCCTTTGAATTATGGTGTTAGTGAAGAACACTGAATATACCAAAGACTATCAGAAGAATGAACAATTCTGTCTCAGAAGAAGTACATCCAGAATGCTCCTTACAAGCAAGGATGGTGAGACTTCATCTCACAGGACTTCGGCCACGCTATCAGGAGGGACCGTTACCTGCAGAAGGACATCATGCTTGCTAAAGTTGAGGGTCAACGAAAAAGAGGAAGGCCCTCAATGACATAGAGTGATACAGTGGCTCCAACGATGGGCTGAGACATAGCAACAACCGTGAGTGGCACAGGACGGGGCAGTATTTAGTTCTGTTGTACGTAGGGTGCTGAGCTGGAACTGACTCAACGGAACCTGACAACAACCACCTAAGGATCACTAGGGAAGCTTGTTAAAAATGTGATTCCTGGACTCTTCCCCCAATGATTGTGGTTCAGCTGGTGTAGAAAAAGCTCTGGACTTTATATTGTCATTGTTGATTTGTGACTTAGGAGACCCACGTGTTACAAACTGAAACGCTCCACGGGGTTTTCTTGGCTGTAATCTTTACGGAAAACTCATCAGGCCAGTTTCTTCCACGGTGTCTCTGGATGCGTTCAAACTGCCAACTCTTTGGTTACCAGCCAGGTGTAAGCCATCTGTACCACCATGGTCCCTGGTTTTATATTTTTAAAACACATCCTGGGACAGCAATATAGGTGGTATCATTCTGACAACCTGCATCTAATCTTTCAAATTGAAGTTAAAGTCCATGTGTCATCTGAGGACCTCAAAAAACAAAGAAAACTCACTGTCATTGAGTCGATTCTGACTCATGGTGACCCCCAGTGGGTCTGAGGCTGTAAATCTTTACAGAAGTAGACTGCCCCAACTTCCTTCCCTGAAGCAGCTGGTGGGTTTAAACCACTGATCTTCTGGTTAGCAGCAAAATGCCTTATCCATGATGCCACCAGAGCTCCACAAGGGAGACTAAAAAGTCCCAATAAATGACCGTTCATGCTTACATGCTTAACTGCCCTACCAAATTTTTTTTGTTGGCTAATTTATTTAAGTTTTTCTATATGGATTATTACTTACCTACAGATTATGAACTCATTTGGTGAGAAAGTTTAAAGTCTGTATTATCTCTTTAAATGCCCAAATTTTGTTTGCAGAACAGCAGGCATTCAAACATTAATTCAAAAAAAAAAAAAAAAAAAAACTAACACTTACTGCCAGATATTCTTCTAAACATGTTACATGTATTACCTTAATACTGTTGTTGTTATGTGCCGTCGAGTCAGACCCAACTCATAGTGACCCGTCCTTGGGTTTCTGAGGCGGTGCCACTACAGAAGTAGATTGCCCCATCTTCCTTCTGAAGAGTGCCTGGTGGGTTTGAACTGCCAGCCTTCTGGTTAGCAGTTCAAGTGTCTTAGGCACTATGCTACCAGAGCTCCTACACCTTAATATTATCTTAATATATTTAATATGATAAATCTATAAGCAAGTGCTCATCTCCTTATTTTATACATAAGTAAAACTAAGGTTTGAAAGGTTAGTTAACTTCCTCAAAGTCACACAGCTACTGTAAGGAAAAATCAAGACTTGAACCAAGGTAGTTTGATACAGAATGGAGTTCAATTTAGATCTGTGGCAGCCTTTTTAGAGATGTCAAGTGCCTCAGTTTTGGGATTCACCCATTCAAATAAAAGAGAATTATGTATAGTGTAGTAAACTACATAAGTATATTCCTGAGACAATATATTCTTCGAGTCTCAGCACAGTTCTAGTGGCACCTGTGCAAAATTCATCCTTAGATGGGACTGCCTCTCAATTGTTTTTGAAAGACACATTAAACACACACTGCCATCATTTGATGTGAGAGGCAATCATATCAAAGAATGAATTTTGCACAGGTGCCATCAGAACTGTGCATATTAACCTCTCAGGTATTCTCCCTATGGAAGTTTACCACACTATATATAATCCTTTCTTATTTGAATAAATGTACCCCAAAACCAAGGCATGTGGCATGACCGAAACGGCTGCCTCAGATGTAAATTGAACTCCATTTTGAATCAAACTGCAGCTTAGCCTAAAATCCTTGGTCCTGCTGCTTTAAAAAGACAATTCAGCTTATAAAATTTTAACTGCTTGTAACCTAAAAGGAACAAGGGTCAAGAGTCTGCCTTGTGCGAGGAATTGTTCGTTCAAAGTTGTGTATCAAGAGTGCCTAGATCGAAGAGGAATGCCTTAGTCCAGATATTCCTGGAGATTAGAAAATATAGCTGATAATATTAAGAAGAAATATAGTTTAACAATCCCCTTGCAACTTTTTGTCATGCAACCACTGGTGCCTGTCAGCACTTAGCCCTTCGCTTATTCTACCCAATAAAAACCTTTGTCTCTCTCTCTTCTTGCCATTTGGAACACCATAGTATCTGCCTGGATCCTGGGGTCTCCCAATTGATGAAATCTCTCTACCTTCCAATGAAATCCTTTCCAACACAGTGTGTAAGACTTGTGCTTTGCTGCAACATATTTAAGAGATAGCACCTCGGAAATACAAGGAGGGGTCGCTATGAGCTGAATCTAGTCTATGTTAGTGAGTTTTTTTAAAAAAAAAAAAAAAACACAGAAAAAGGAAGTGGTTTGTGTGTGTGTGTTTTATAGTAAACACTTAGAAGGATAAAAAATTTGATTTTGAATGAAACCTTAGTCTGTTGAGTTTGCCAAGTCAAAAACAAAGAAAGAGGCAGAGAAGGGGGTGATGGGGGGGGGAGAAAAAGAAAGAAGTTCTATACCATATAATGTTATTACTGCAATGACTGGACAAAAAAAAAAAAAAAATGTACTCAGTGGCTTCAGAAACAGGAAATTCAAACTCTTCTGTTACTTCCCTTCCTTAACAACTAAAGCATCTCAGAGTCACCTGACTTCATTCAAGACCCTTACAATTAATCTCCCTCATCTTATACCAAAACAAGGAATGAAATTCTAGTCATAGGGCTACCTCCAATTTGCTCTCAACTACAACAAATCCATTAAACACAAAATGTGGCCATTAGAGAAGCCAAAAACACATTCCCAGGACCCAAAGGATCTGGAAATTGATGGGGACAGAAAGGGAATGCAATCAGGGATTGACCCTGATTTTACATGGGGCAAAGAACACTCTAGGAGTCACTGTGTCCATCAGAAACACTTGGTTTGTGCATTCTGATTTTAAGCTGGATCAAGAAACCTGAACAACAGTGATTATTCAGATGAAGCTTAATCTTCATGACAAAGGGAAAACAAAGTGATTCAAGGTGCTATTGAGGAAACTGCTGCATGTGCCAAGCAGCAGAACAAAATAATGGATACATCTTGCTGGAACAAATCAGATAATACTGCATAACAAAGGGGCCTTTATGATCCTCTATTAACAAAGAAGGAACTCAACTAGATGGTCTAGAGTGCCAGCTCACCAGGGTGGGACGGGAATCCTGACTGTAATCAGCTCTGAAAAGGGAATGGGGACCTTTTGTTTCTGGGGTTGGAATCATCTGATACTTCATTGTCTCAGGGTGAAAAAGGTTGTTATTACTGAGCAGACTGGAGGGCCCTTTTGTGAGAGAGAATGGGTCCCCAGATGCACCCACAATAAAATAAAGGCAGTGAGAGGCTAAATTAAGTCACTAGCCCACTGGAAATAATGTGCCTTCACTTCACAAAATAGTATCCTAATGTGAAAATTCAGATGGCATCTGCCAGAAATGAAAATTGTCAATAAATCAGAATTATCAAAACCCTCCTGGCAAAACCATATATAATGTGTGTGTGTATGTGTGTGTTCTAAATCCTTTAGCACAACTTATTGAAAAGCATGTAAATTCATAAGGGGCAAATACAATCATTCTTTTCCCAAGAAGAAACACATTATTAGTATCAAGTCATAGAATAACAGCAACTATGGAAAAAAAAAAGCATTCTATGCAGATTTCTCTCTCAACTTGGTAAGATCTTTAAAGATGTGAGATACAGATACATTGCCACAGGATTTCACTAATGATTGCTAGTTAAAAATCTAAAATATTCATACAAAAATTATATTGATATTTCATCCATTCAGTAAGCAAATGGGTGCTCTTGCTGTCATTAGAAGATTGTGGTAGAAATTTTGGGGGATGGACAAAGACATACAGGGCCTCCAAGAAATACAATCAATAAATTCAATTTTAAATCACTTGTTTAGAAGGCAAAGTAAAGCTGAACAAGGAAATGTTAAAATAGTGGTCAGCTTCCCAGGCTATCTCAACAACGGCAGTTTTAATTGATAAGACTGTTAGTAGCATTAGC